TCCCTCAATAACGCGTTCGATATGCTCTATGACGCCTGAGGGTCGTGTCATGGAAGAGGATGACCTTGAATCAGTTATCAGTGATCGAGAAAGTTTATACCAGGTGATTTCACACTTCTTCGCATGATTCTACTAGATTTGAACACCAAGAGGAATTTTTTCGTTCCACTTTATCAATTTTATCTAATAAACCTTTAATAAATAGGCGCTACATTAAGTTGTTATTTTAAAAGCTCCATTCTACATTTTAAATTAAACATTCCAAACCTTAAACTCTAAATTTAAATTCAACCAACGTTCTAAACCTACATATGAAACAATCTAATAAACCTACATAAATCCAGTTAAGTTTTTTGAGATAAAGGAGTTTTTTTGGAGTTTCTTTTTGTGGAGTTATGTTCGAATAATGCTCAATGATCGACCAAAAGTGTGCTTTTCACCAAAAGTGTACTCTTTGATTTGATATCCATTCTGAATTCGAATGATGAAATCGCATGAGATTTCGGCAATGAACGCATCAATCTCTCATTATCCAGTCGTTAGCACCACCTGTATAGGTGATGGCATTTGGGTGGATACCTTGATAGTCTTTTGAGTGAATAAGTACGTAAAAGAGCATTTTTGACTTTACGAAACGTATTGTATTTTTAAAATAGTATAAACTGAAAAAGTATAATGTCGCGATTGAACTGAAGCGATGTTGTTTTAGGATTATGCCCTTGCTGGTGATGATACAACAATAACAAATACACTATCCAGAAAACGACCATCAACAAATGTGCCACCAATTTCGCAACTCAACTCCGAGGTCGGTTTTTTTGGGAGAGGGGAACTACTTTTGGCTTCATGGGATGAATCCAATCTTTATCTGCACCTCATACCCCAGAAATTCTGTAGTGTGTTGCGATGAAAGATTCTGCGAGCGATTTCGTGCTTCTTTTTCTGGAATACTTACAACTAGTCGAGTGAACTCGCCCTCCTGCCAACCCCATACGTTTTACATTTGTCACTGATTGTTCTTTTTTTCATGCATTGCTTTAAGTTGTTTAGAAAGTCGGCATTAATATTTTTATTTACGTAAAAATTAATTTCTGTGGGAACTTTATCGAATGTAGCAATGAAACATTTCGAAAAAGTTGTCTGGGATTTTGAGTCAGTCGACTTTATTTGTGATTGACGGAAAAAGAGTAAGTCGAGTTTTTTTTTTTTTAAAGTGATTTTCTGCCGAGAACTGATGAAAAGATGGAGTGAGTGATAATAAAAATTTTAGGTTGTAAAACGATTATCGGAGGAAGATCGACAGTTGTTGCGATTCTATTCGCCACAATTGGATGCACATACCGAATTCCTCTCGAAGGCAATCGAGGAATTTTTAACAGTTGTTGAAGAGCAACTTCCACCCAGGGAATTCGTTCAAAAGGGGAAATTGGTTCGTTTCGAGCTCTATTTTTTGGCCACTCTCCATTATTGAAAATTACGTCCATCTTTGTTCAGTTTCAAATTGTATTCTTCATTTCATTTCAATTTCCTGAAGTTTTCATCTGACATCCACTCTGGATACGAATAATGTAATCGCATGATACTTCGGCAATGAACGCATCAGTCTTTTATTTGTTCATGTCAGTTGTCTCAATCGTTAACATCACCTGTACAAGTGATGGCGTTTGGATGGACATCTTGATAGTTTTTTTGAGTGAATAGCTAAGTAAAAGGGCATTTTTGCTGTCTGTCTTTCACCATATACCAAATCAAATATTCTTTGAAAATCTTCGGCATAAGTTTGATATGAGAGTGTCCTGTGGGTTTAAAAATATCACTTTTTGTAGTTTTCAACGTTTATTTCGTTACTTTCTTGTAAGTATCTTCTAAATTTGAATTGTTTGATAGCTAAAAAGTCAAACTGCAAGGGTTTCAACTGCAATGCTATCATGAATTTACTGCTGTCGTTATCATTCGTCTTATTTATATATATTTATATTATTGACATATTTATATTATTCGTCTTATTTATATATTTATATTATCTTATATGCTTCATTGTTATGCTGGTCTCCATTGATACTGTCATGAATATTTTGCGGTGTTCATTTTTGCTTGATATGAAGACGTATCCAAATTTTATTGAGCGTTGATACATCGCACTGCAATATAACCTCAAACTGTTGAAGGGCTTAATTAATAAGTTCAGAAGAATATTTTTCGACAGTGTATCCGAAATATGCGTAACAATGCGATATTTGCAGATAATTCTGGCTGCGCATAAGCTGATATACATC